GCAGTGCCAGGACAGGCAGGAAGCCTGCCTCTGCACCCCTGCTGCACCGCTGACTGGGAGCCGCCTGAGGTAAACCCGTGCCCCAATCCCCTGCCCCAGCCCTAAGCCCCCACCCAAACCCAGAGCCCCTTCCTGCACCCTAAACCCCTCATCCCCGGCCGCACCCCAGAGCCTGCACCCGCAGCCCGCACCCCAGCACTCCAACCCTCTGCCCCAGCCTAGAGCCCCCTCCCACACTCTAAACTCCTCATTCTCGGCCCCACCCCGCACCACAACCCTCTGCCCCAGCCCTGAGCCCCTCCCACACCCCAACCCATCATCCCCAGCTCCATTGGGTCACAGGCATCAACAATTTTCTTCAACTGGGTCGCCAGAAAAAAAGATTGAAAACCACTGCTCTAATCTATTCTCATAAGCCATGCCTCAAATCTACACTGCTAGGTGGGCATATAGCTTCTGTACTCTGTATGTGGCCATAAAGTATAGACATAACTTTTGTTTACCCCCCACTTTACCCAACACGCATCTTCTAGAATCAAATAAGGAATTGCCTCATCTTCCCAAACACACAGAAACCCTTACAGTCATAGTATTGCCAGCCCTGAATATTCAAAAATCATGAGTCAGGCCCCAAGAAATCATGATTGGCTTTAAAAAATTGTGATTTTTTTTTAATTAAAATAAAAGGTTTTTTATTTGCTTTCTGTTTTTTGAGCCTTCAGGGTGCACGCCGATCACATTTTTTAAGCTTTTCTCAGCAAACACAAGGGCTAGTAACTTAACTGCTTTAAAAAAAAAAAAAAAAAAAAAACCCTGAAATACTCTTATCACTTATCTCTGGGAGCTGAGGCTTTAAGTAAAACATCTACTTCAAGACTCACAATAAAACTGTGAGAGTTGGCAACACTGCAATAAGAGCACTGGCTACCTTGATGATGCAAATCCACATTGGAAAGGCTAAGAATCATATTTAGGAGAAAAAATTCCTAGGTATGCACTACTTTCCCCATGCACAAATCTCTCCAAGAGTTGGTTGACTTGGGCTAGCCTAATCTGGACCAAGCTATGACTGATAAGTATCCTGTCTCCTTTGAGAAGTACTTCTTAGGCCTGGGATACACTAGCGGGGGCTAAGATACGCAACTTCAGCTACGCTATTCGCGTAGCTGAAGTCGAAGTATCTTAGTTTGACTTACCTGGCCATCCTCACGGCAGCGAGTCGACCGCCGCGGCTCCCCTGTCGACTCCGCTTACTCCTCTTGCCGAGGTTGAGTACGGGCGTCGATTCAGGGATCGATTTATCGCATCTAGACGAGATGCGATAAATCGATCCCCGATACATCGAACGCTACCCGCTGATCCGGCAGGTAGTATAGATGTACCCTTAGTCTCCAAGGTAGATGGCAAGGTAGCAGCCATTACTTCAAAATCTGCCCCTACATTGATTCTTTTGCTACCCTGATGAACAGATTGGGCTCGGTCATCTGCCAGTGCAAAGATTTTGACGTTGTTACCTTGGCCCTCAAGAGTGCAACCCATTTGGTTTACATAGCTAGGTCACTGCAATCGCTCAACTAGGTCACCAACCTGGCAGTAGCTTACATAAAATAGAATCACAAAGCAATGCCATGTATGAAGGATTTTTGAGCTAGCTGCCACACAACTTCTGGTAGAATCACCAGTGAGGTTAGGTACACTGGTTGCTATACAGTATTAGACACATTTGGCTTTTAGAATGCCATTTTGTGAGGGGAAATTTCAATTTATTACTATTGCATTCAAAGAGGTTAAGCTGTTTCAGGAAGTGAAACCCAGGAACAACCCGTCAGCTCCCACCTGGTGGTCTTGTAAGAAATGACATTCCCAATCTTTCCCAGGACCCTTTCCGGGGTGAAAAGTCTGATTATTTATATTGCAGCATCTAGGAGCCCTAATCATGGACCAGAACTCCATTGACATAATCAGTGTCTACATTAGGGGGTTGCACCAGTACAGTAGTACTGGTGGCTGAAAATTTCATGTAGACAGAGCCTTAGATGGCACTTAGAAGTGAGTTAGAGGGACACAATGAGTTGAGTTAAGCAATTAAAATTTTAAATGAGGTTTGTTTTTCCTAATGTTTTTAAGATGTGTTGATCTGGTTTTGCACAATTGAGCTTTGTGCATATTAGCAGATTAGCTTGCTTTTGCAAGAGCAACAAGATTTCAATATATAATTTGAAATATCTATAGAAAAGGTAGATACTATATATTTTAAAATACAAAACTTTATTTAAAAATAAATAATTACGGTTGTTAAGTGAAAACAATGTAGTTATCACATCATTTAGAAAACCCAGGCACATAAAAAGGTAGGGAAATATGCATATTTCATCAGCACACAACAACCTTACTTCTGACCCATGGCTTATTGACCTTTTTATGTGTGTTATTTTTGTTATCTTGATTTCTGTCTCTAAATATTTTCTCTTAAGCGAGACTCTTCGGGGGAAATGATCAGTTAATATATTTATCACTAGACAATAAAACATTGTGATAAAATATTTATAATTGCTTTTTTCTTGAGAGTAATATTGTATATGTAGCTTAACGGGAAAACCATAAAACAATTGCCCCTGGCATACACCTTTCTGGCTGGCACAGAGTTAGCTATGTAGACTGTGCCTCACTTAAAGTTGCCCCCACACTGGGAAAATGACTGTTTTTAAGTGCTTTTAACTTTCTAACTCGGGTTTGTTTTTATTATTTTTGTAAATAGTTATTGGGTAATTTTCAGTGAGGATTTAGTCATCCTGAACATCTAGGCTTTAATCCTGAAAAGAATTATTAATGTGCTTCACTTTATGCATTGTGTGAGTAATCAATCCCATTGACTTCAGTGGGACTGCTCACAGACCCTGATCTTCAACTTGTGTAAGCTGCTATAGCTCAGCTGAAATCAACTGAACTATGGCAATTAACACCAGCTGAGGATCTGCAGGTTCAGGCCCTTAAATTTAAAAGGTTTAGCCATTTTGAGTGATCAGAGCAGAAAAGTGTTTTTAAACACACCCCACCTCAAATCAGCTTGCTCAAATGGGGGGAGGAAGGAGAATCACCCCAGACTAAAATCAAGCATGGAAAATTTCTGTTAGAAGGGAGAAATTTTCACAATGTTATGAACATGTGAATATAAGACCATATGAAAATGTTACCATTCTATTTTAAAAGGCACTGTTCTTTTTCCATTAGTCATATTTTAAGGTAAATTTAATTTGTGCTTTCAACTAGTCTATTAACAATTAGCATATTAGAGCCCAGTCTTCCAGTCCCATGGCTTCATCCAACTCCCATGGAAATGAATGGGACTTTGTCCCTTGACTTCAGGGGGAATTGGGCCCTAAAGTACTATTGACTTAAATGAAAATGTTGCTACATTAGGGACTGTAGGTTTGACTCATAGTAACTGTTAGCAAAAGTTATGTAATCTTTCATGCTCTTTAGATTAATTCTCTGGTGCCATCTAGTGTTTTTAGAGTAAACTACAAATGTCAAATCCTAGTTCTTGGAAAATAAATTGTTTTGGGCTGCACAAGTTTTCAGTTTCACTTTTATGTATACAATTATCCCCGTGGTTCTTAATATTTGTGATTTAGACATGAAACTTGACTAGTACGAGACCAAATAGACATAGTTAAAACACCTTTCACAGCAAAGATCTAAAATGTTCTTGACTTTCCCTGATTTTCAGTATTAAAACTTCATCGGTACATAAGTTTGAGAGGATTGTTCAATTTCCCCGTCTATTCTTGGTGAAAAGAGCTAATAGTAGTGGATTTACTTTTTTATATGACCACTTATCCTCTGAAAATTGAGACCTACCAGTTCATTTCAGGTTGACTGACAGATAGTAATGACTTTTGATCACTATCAACAAGCAGCGGGATTGAAATCAGAAAGGAAAGACTGCATACTCCATTAACAGTTACTGCCCATAATTGCAGAACCTATTCTTCATAAAAGTCTAAAACTTCTTTGGGGCATTGAATTCCAGTGCCTTATTTCATTTGTCATTAGAAAAATGTTTGGGTTTTTGGGGGGTCAATTTTATATAAATTGGCTTTTTAGCTAATTGAATGCCTCACTGGGTCAGAGGAAAGACAATTAGTAATTTTATTGTGCCTTCTATCTGCAGCCCTCAATGCATCTAGTGAACATTCATTAACTTCATGTAACCCTGCACGGTAGGTAAATATGAGTTTCCTCGCTGGTAAAACTGAGATTAAGGAGTCGGTGAAGTGCCCAAGGTTACAGAGCAAGGCAGTGACCGAGCCAGGTGTAAAACCCAGCAGCTCGGCTTCTACCCGTGTAACAGGACTGTGCCCTCCATCTCACAAAGAACTGGGGCTGGGAGCACTTGAAACCCAACACTCGCGTTCCCCAGTGAGCATCCCCACGGGCTTGCCCCGAGAGAACAGACGGTGGGGATTCAAACCCCCTTAGGTGACCCGGGTGGAAGTCGCGCTGTAGACCTGCCCTAGATTTTGATGCGGGTTAAACGTCAGCGGCGCTGCCACGTGGCCGGCGCGTTCACGTGCCCCCAAGCCGCGCGAGTTCAGGGCAGAGCTCCCGGGGGCGGCTGCTGGCTGTGGCTGGCCGGCCGGGCCGCAGAGAGGCAGCGCGTGAAGCTGCCATCCTCCCCCAGCGCAGCAACGGGCCTGGCCTATCCGCCTGAGCCATCGCAGTGCATGCTGGGCGTGGTAGTTTTTGCTGCCTGGCTGGGGGATGCGATGGGGGGGGGGGTTGGCACGGCTTGCTGGGATAGGTCACGTAGGCGCCCTCGCAGGCGGGTGCGTAGGGAGAAGTGTACTGCGCCTGCCTGCAAGGAGCCCGTTGATTGGTAGAGGCTCCCCGCCAGACCAATGAGGGTGCAGGGTGGGGCAGAGGGCGGGGGCGGAGCTCGGCGCCGGGGTGTTTGGATTCGGACGCCACTCCTGGCCGGCGCAGGCGCAGTCTGAGGCAGGGCGGCGTTGCCCTCTAGTGACGGGGTAGGGGATGCCGGGCGAAGAGGAGGAGGAGGCCGAAGCGGGGGTCGCGGGCAGCGCCGCCTCCCCGCCGGCGGAGGAGTGGGGCACTCGGCAGCGCTATGAGGAGCTCTGCAGCAGCCTCAACATGGACGAGCGCGCCCGGGCCGAGGCCTGGCTCAGCTACCAGGGCATGAAGCGTAACTACACCCTGGAGGTGAGGGGCGGCCGGGGGGGGCCCGGGAGAGGCAAGGGGAGGGGCGGCCCGGGAGAGGGGGGTGCCTAGGGCTAGCTGCGGGGGGTGGGGGTCTCTCTGTGACAGACCCAGTCCGGACCAGGAACGCGGTGGGACTCAGAGACTCTCCGCCCCAGCGTCAGGAAATGGCTCGGTAGCCCTCTGTGCAGGAGTCCTAACGCCCCTCCCCCCCGCACACACAAAAAGGATGTTCGGGTTTGCCCCGTGAGGGAAGGAGGGCTGGAGTCCCTGACCTATGATGTGTTAACCTGAGGTTCTAACTTTTTTCCTAATCGAGAAAAAAACCAAACTGTTCTCCTGCCTGAGATAGTTGCAAGCCAGGATATTTCTCTCCAATTGCTTCAAAATTGCCATGTGTCTGTTTCTGCGATATTCCAAAAATGTGTTAAACCGAGTCTAATACAAATTTCTTCTCGTCTATTAAACCTTTGTTAAAAAGTGGGACGTTTAAGCGAAGTCTACTATTTCTAAAGCTTTGCTGCTTTTATAAAGTAAGGAATATTTGCTGGTGGTATGAAGTGTTTTTTTATAAATTAACATAGTACATTCTGTGATGCAGTATCCTCAGTCTTTCTGTTGGTTCTTTGGCTTGCTGTTTTCAGAATTCAGTAGTTCACAATGACAAGTTTCAGAGTAGCAGCCGTGTTAGTCTGTTCTTTTTTAATAGTTCACAATGTATGTTCCCATATGGACTAATGGGGTTCTACCGTAGTGTATTTACTAGTAATGTGTGCAAAGATGTTTTTCAGCTATCGTGTATTATATTCAGATAAAGTCCTTTTTTGTGTTGGTGTTTTACCAAATGTTGAAATAGATTTTATTTCACGTATTACACTAGTTTCTGGATTTAAGAACAGAAATATACACATCCAGTTTGCTTACACAGCTACTGTGATTGAATGAAAATCTGATATATGTACACACAAATATTGCTACATGAATAGGTACCTATTGAGCATACAAATATCTGCAGTACCATAATAACCACAGTTTCTATGTGTGTTCTAGCACATAATTGTGCACATACTTCTCTGTGGTCAGTTTTTGGAAACACAGCTTTTAAATTTGATCCCCCGAAGTTGAGATTCAGATTTATTTAAAAAATATTTCTACCTGATAATTTTCTGGCAGTAAAGAAAAGTGTTAATGTGTATATCTGAATACAGTAGGATGGCAATTAAATATAATTTACTGTGCAAATATAACTTTTTTATTCATATGCAAAAATATATTTAAAGTGGAATTAAGATACAAGCACTCAGCCAGCACCCTGTGCTGCTTGTGTCCTACCAGCATATGATGATTTAATTCCCAAACTCAAAGGATGCAATACCAGCTTCTGTTACATACTTCTTATGAGAAAGTTGTTTTAAAAAAAAAAATCACCAAACCACAGAGGTTAGAAAACCAAGAAAAGCTGAGTTAATGGGATATTTTCCACATTATACAATCTTAACTCTGCCTCCTTTGAGGACCTTTATGTATGTCCTCTTACCGTGCATCAAAAGCCTGATTTATTTGGAAAGGAACAGTGAGGTCAAAGCACCGCATTTAAAATCAACTTTTTGGTAATTTAGAAAATTCCAGATTTTGAATGTTAACTCAGTGTCAGAGACACAGGGTGTTTGAGTTAATTTTTTTTTTTAACCAACTTCTGTTGGTGGAAGGTAGAAGTTTTCAGACATCTCCCTGAAAAAGAAATCTGTGTAGCTTGAAAGCTTGTCTCTTTCACCAAACAGAATTTGTTCAGTAAAAGATATTAACTCACCCACCTTACCTCTGTAATATCCTGGGACTAACACAGCTACGATGACACTGCAAACAATTCATTGTCAGCAGAAAAAGTAGCTTACTGCATAACACATTTTATCCATTGATGTCTGCTGTATGCAGTTAGGATTTCCCTGATTTGTACTTCGTCAGTTGAGGTCTTATGATTTTATTTAAATTGCTACCAAGTTTTTTTTTTTTTTTTTTTTTTTGGTTTGGTTTGGGTTTTTTTTGTAGTACTGATTGTTTATCAGGAATAGGTTTGTCTGGTCTTAATACATCATCTTTCTGCAGGCCAGGAAAATTATGGCTCTGATAGAGAGGCATCCACCAGAGTATATATTGGCAATTGAAACATTGAGAGTGACATGATAGACTTACCAATAAGATATTCTCTGACAGGACACTAGGATATATGTGCCCACTGCTAGAAAATGCCTTGAATCTCATCTGTATGACACTTTCAATTACCTTGATGAAATAGACATATGAAACCAGACCAAGTGTATAAGTTTCTAACTGTATTGATTGTGGGTGCAGCCAGACTGGAGAGCTCAAACTTGAAAACTTTCATTCTTAGTCTTTGAGGAAAAATGAACAAGTGTCCTTAGGAATATTTGGGGAAGAAGAATGTTCTGGCAGCCAGGAGCAGTTGCTTTCATACCCACAAGGTGATAGAACATTTAAAATAATCTTCTCTTGTTAGAAGCAAAAAAGCATGCTAAATGCCCCATGTAAAATTTGGCTTAACAAGAAATTGGTAAGTGTAAGTTAATTGATTCTTTAGTAATTTTGATGTTACCTAATTTTAGCATTTTTTAAATTCCTTAATTACATTATAACTAGAAAGAGCTTTTGAATAATTGAGTTAAGCTTTACAATCTTTCCCTTGAAATGTACTGGATTATTTTTTGCATTTTTCTCTATATTGGATGAATAGCTGAAGTAAAAGAAACACTTGTCAGTGTATCCTTTAAATGGCGTAATGTTTAATTTCACAGGGGAATGATCTACACTGGCTAGCATGTGCCTTATATGTGGCTTGCAGAAAAGCAGTCCCAACTGTGAGCAGAGGGACAGTCGAGGGAAACTATGTATCCTTAACAAGAATATTGCGCTGTTCAGAACAGAGGTAATTTCTCTTTCAAAAGTGCAACTATGTTGTTAAAATGTAAAAGTCTGCATTTCCCTTGCAAATGTCTAGAAATTGAGAGTGAAGGGTGAAAATTATCTTTAACTCACTCTTATTTCCTGCATTTTGACACACAGTGTTGTTATATTGCAAGACCTTTGTTCTCAGACACTATCATGAGTTAAAGACAGTTTGTCTTTAATAAAAACTTTCCATCATTCTGAATGAGGATGTTTAACTCAGAAGGTTAAAATCATTTTAACAGACTTTGTTGTGATTTTATATCTAGTCACAATTCACCTGAATCATTAGCATGTTGTAACCACAGTATTTTTCTATCTCTGAGGCTGGCTTTTCAACCTCAGGAATCACAAGCAGGCCCATAAAAAGTAGTAGTGATGTGGGGGGGTGTTTTTTGGGGGCGGGGGGTTATTTGGTGAAATCAAGTAAAAGCTGAGCTGCCTATTTAATACATAATATTCATATTCTTGTCTTGATTTTTCTAATTTACTTAGTGCTAATAACCAAATGAACGTGTGAATGTATTAAGTTGCGCTAGTCACATGAGACATTTACACACATGCATGTGCACATACACTTTCTCCTTCAAACAGTGGAGAGATGTCATCTTTGAGTTCTGGTCCCTGTGTGTATTCCACACACTCCAGGCACCTGAGACTGGAGATTTCTACTAAGTAGTGTCTGTTGTTTTGTGGCTATGCAGTTATTGTCCTTGTGCTCCAAGCTGAGGATATAAGGAGTGGGGCAGATTGACGCCTCTCCAGTTCCTTCTTACTGCTGCATGGCCTGATTTAGAATCCTCTGAGTCCGAAGCAATCTTCACATTGTTTCTTCTGAATTTGTAAATATATTTGTATGTAGTTTTTAGTATTCTTCGTGGTTTAGAGTTTTTTATAGTCTAGTTAGTATAGTCTCCCCAGTCGGATCCAGGCACCTTTCTGAGCACAAGTTCCAGAGCAGAGGCCAAAACCGCTAAGCCTCAGAAACCATTGCCTCTTGCAGGAGTAAGGGGCATACTCATGGGCATAAGGACTGATCCCCTTCCTGATCTGCCTCTAAGAGAAAGAATCCCCAACTCATTCCAGGTCTTGTGAATCCTTGTGCAAAGGAGGAGGGATCCATTGGTCTGGCTCCAACTTAGAGGCTGAAGGATAGTCATATGCCAGGTACTGACTGGGAGCTCCATGTTGGAATCCTTATTGAGAGTACTGACCCACTCCACAAGGAATCTGCTGATGATAGTGCCCTTGGATGTCTTGGATCTGTTGGTCCTGACACCCGGGACTCCGCAAACTCCAGGATGGACTGAAACATTTACCTTACCAGAGGATATTTTCACTTTGCCCTAACAACAGTGTCCTTTCCTGTCTGGTCCGGTCCTCCTCTGACACATTTCATTATCAGAAGAAACCACTTTGAGGAGAGGGGATTCTCCCCTACCCCCCTGCACAAGCCAGAACATTATTTCCCTCGTAAAACATGAGCCTACCTTCTCGTTGGCCGTGTCCGTTGTTCTAGACGAGCCTTTGCTTCCTTACAGGAGGCAAGCCCAGATGGAACCTCTAAAAGGTATTGGAGCCATCCTCCTCCAACGTACAACTATCCGGGGATCGATGATAGACCGTGTCTTGGTGTCTCCCCAGCCAGTCGACCCTTCATATTGGCTCTACTGCAGTTCATGGGATCCATATGTTAGACATCCCAGATCCGTGCATGAATTGCACCCACCCTTTTGTCCTAGCTGATACCACTAAGCTCCGTTGGAGTATACTGAGAGAGAAATTGAACCAGATCCTTCAGTATTGACCGTTCCGATGGGCATATCATCATCCTCACCTGACAAGGCAATCACTCCATTATTGCCGTCCCTGCATAATGACCACAGGCAATTTCAGGAACTTTTCCAGATAGTTGTGACCGAACTCCAGATCTGTCTTGAGGAGATCCATGACACGCATCATAAATTCCAGTCCAGTTATGGAAATGGTGCGTCAGAAACCACATCGCACTCCGGCAACCTATCTTCTTCGAGTGATTGCTCATATTGATTCCAATTCGGTGTGTGCGTGCACAGTCATCAAAAAGATTTTTCCCTAGCAGCAGCCGTTGGGTTGGCTGTGGAGCCCTGTGTAATGGCACCGTAATGGCGCTCAATATATGACCCTGCCGACCTGGTGCCTCCTCAGTTCCTTCTTACTGCCAGTGCCATCGTTGGAGCTGCGGTGAATTGCTTAGCAAGCTCGCCTTGTTTCCCACCGAAACAGCAAAGCCTGGCAGCGTCCTCCATAAAGGTACACCTCGCTGCTATCTCGGCTTTCCACCTGGAAGTGTCTGGATGCTCCGTCTTCGCCAACCCTATGGTTGGTGGGTCCCTCAAGGGTCTGGAACAGACAGCCTGTCCCCAGATCAGACAGCCTGTCCCCGCATGGGACCTTAACCTGGTCCTCTCCAGATTAATGGGGACCCCCATTTGAACCGCTGGCGACTTGCTCACTTCTTTAATCTGTTGTGGAAGGTAGCCTTTTTGGTCGCCATTACATCAGCAAGGAGGGTGTCTGAGTTAAAGGACTTTTCCTCTTACCCACCCTGTACGGTTTTCCACAGCAATAAGGTGCAACTCAGACCTCACCCGGCCTTTCTTCCTAAGGTTGTGTCACACTTCCACACTAGTCAGGACATTTTCCTGCCTGTTTTTTATCCTAAGCCTCATGCCAGTAGCCATGAGTGGAAGCTGCACTCCCTGGATGTTCGGTGAGAACTAGCCTTTTACATCCAGCGCACTAAGCCATTCAGATAGTTGAACCAGTTGTTCATAGCACCAGCAGACCAGATGAAAGGACTCCTGGCCTCATCTCAAAGGATATCTTCCTGGGTCACGTCATCCATCCTCACGTGCTATGAGCTGGCCAAAATACTGGCCCCAGCTCTTACTGCACACTCCACGAGTGCTCAGGCCTCATCAGCGACGTTCCTGGCCCAGGTCCCGATACAAGAAATCGTCAGGGCAACAAATTGGTCCTCGATACATACATTCACCTCTCATTACACCATCATCTGGCATGCCAGAGATGATGCAGCTTTCGGCAGAGCGAAGCTCCGAGCAATGATTCCATAACTCCAACCACAACCCCTAGGTAAGGCTTGGGAGTCACCTAATTGGAATCTAAATGAGCAATCGCCTGAAGAAGAAAAAATAGTTACTCACCTTCTCAAAACTGTTGTTCTTCGAGATGTGTTGCTCATATCCATTCCAAACCCACCCACCTTCCCCTCTGTCGGAGTAACCGTCAAGAAGGAATTGAGGAGGCGCCGGTTCGGCAGGGTCATATATTGAGCGCCGTGGAGGCACCACTCCAGGAGGCTCCACAGCCGACCCGACGGGTGTTGCTAGGGGAAAAACTTTCCGATGACTGTGCACACAGCGAGCACACACCTAATTGGAATCGATATGAGCAACACATCTCAAAGAACAACAGTTACGAGAAGGTGAGTAACCGTTTTTTCCAGATCTGCAGGATGCTCTGGCACACAATCTCAGCAGGAACTTTTCTACAAACCACAAATAGGAGATACACAGTTATGTCCTAAAAGACATCTTGGCTCAGTGGAGAATGCCATCTTGGGATCTGTTCGCCTCCCAGGCGAACAAGAAAATTCCATCTGTACTGCCTCAGAGCAGCACTAGTCTGATTATCCAGAGGCAAGGCTCTCCTGTTATCCTGAACAAGCCACCTGAGGTATGCTAGTAGAACAGCAAAATCTAACATCCCAACCCCAAACCCTCTTGACCTCATGGCCTGGCTGTTGGATGGATACCCGACGTAGACCATTCGTATTTGGCAACCGTTCAGTCTGTTCTCAATCGAAGCAGAAAAGACTCCACCAGAAAATGCTGTTTAGCTCAATGTAGGTGTTTCTCAGCCTGGATGCAATGAAACCAGCTGTCCCCAGAATCAGCAGATATTCCTGCTATTTCCTGTCCCTGAAGACTTCAGGGCTTTCTGTTAGTTTGCTGTGGATCCACCCAGCAGCAGTTGGTGCCTTCTGTTTGGTAGAAGGCCACTCCATTTTTACATACCCAACAACAATCAGATTCCTGAAAGGACTCGTTTACCACCGGCGGTGAAACCAATATCTCAGTGGGATCTCAGCCTTATACTATCAGTACTACCAGACCACCCTTTGAACCACTGATGACGTGTTCAGTGTCCTACTTCTCTATGAAGGTCCCCTTCCTAGTTGCCGTCATATCAGCCAGAAGTGTAAGTGAACTAGGAGCTCTCATGGCTTATGCCATATGCCATACTAGAGGTTTCCCTTCAACTTCATCCAAAATTCATCCCCAAGGTAATTTCCAAGTTTCATATGAATCAGCATATTCACTTACCAGTAGTATCCTTTTCAAAATCTGATACTTTCAAAGAGGAGAGGAGACTTTACTCTCTCGATGTCAGATGGGCTTTGCTTTCTTTCTTTGCAGATAGAAAGACAATCAGGAAATCACCAAGATTATTTATTGCTATAGCAAAGTAATCATGAGGACAAGCATTATCTGCTCAGAGACTCTATGTGGCTCTCTGGCTGCATCGTTCTGTTATCAGTTGGCACATATTCCTCTCCCAGATGAAGTGGGAGTCCATTCCAGTAGAGCACAAACAATCTCGATGGCATCTCTGAGAGAAGTACCTGTGCTGGACATTTGTAGGATGGCTATCTGGAGCTCCATCCAGACCTTCACAAAATATTACACCTTAGTCCAGTCCTCTTCTGCAGATACATCTGTTGGGACAGTACTTTTACAGACATTTATACCAACTGTATCCTCGAACCCTCTCCTGTTTGAAGACTGCTTAACAATTACCCATGTGTGGAATACACATAGGGCCCTGCATTCGAAAAAGAAATGGAAGATCTTTACCTGTAACTGGAGGTTCTTCAAGATGGGTAATCCCTGTCTGTAGTCTATTACCCACCCTCGTTCCTCTCTGCTTCAAACTTATCTGGTTTGCGATGAAAAGAGGGACTGACGAGTCATCGGTCCGCCCCGCCCCCATATCATCAGTTCAGAACACAAGGAGAATAACTGCACAGGGACGAACCTACAGATGGGGGTTGCTAGAAATCTCTAGTTTCAGGTGCATGATGCACTTGTGTATCTACTTGTGGGATACAGATAGGGACAGTGCACCTCAAAGAACCTTCAGTTACAGATATGTAACCTCCATTTCACCTCCACACTTCAGCCTGTAACACGCCTTAGGTGATAAGATCTGTACCATAGTTTGACAAATCCCTTTTTACCACATGCTTAAAATCCATAAAAGCAATAAAATAAATTATTTCCTAAAGCTATTGAGTAAGCTGAGTCAGTGTTAATCAGTAATGCAATTGTGATGATCAAGCAGCCTAACATACAAATGATTATAGCAGGAAACCGTAGATGTCCAACAATATACTTTATCAATTATTATTGTATATTTTAAATAAAATGCAGAAAAGTTTTGTTAAAAAAAGCAAAAAGAAATAGAGGAAGGTAAAGACACAGGATACAAATTTAGGTGAATCCAGCTATAAAAGACAAGTTGGGGGGAGGGGGGCAATTAGAAGTCAGGGAAGAAAGGGCAATAAAACCATAAGGCAAATGAAAAATATAGCGTAGCTCAGTGGTTCACAAACTGTGGGTCAGGTCCCCGAAGTGGGTCGCGGCCCCATTCTAATGGGGTCTCCAGGGCTGGCGTTAGACTTGCTTTGAGGCCTGAGACCAAAGCCCGAGCCCCACCCCGGGGGCTAAATCTCAAGCCCCACCACTCAGGGCTGAAGCTCAAGGGCTTCAGCCCTGGATGGCAGGGTCAGGTTACAGGCCCCCCACCTGGGGCTGAAGCCCTTGGGCTTTGGGCCCCCTGCCAGGGTGGTGGGGCTTGTGCTTTGGCTTTGTCCCCCCCTGCCTGGGGCGGTGGGGCTTGGGTGGGCTCAGGCTTCGTCCCCCCCTCCTGGGGTTGTGTAGTAATTTTTGTTGTCAGAAGGGGGTCGAGGTGTAATGAAGTTTGAGAGCCCCTGATGTAGCTTATTTAAAAGCATAGCAGAAATGATACATATGTCATGTTCTGTCTTTTCCCTCTGTGGTTGTAGATTTTTCTTAGTACTGTGAAGAGTGCAGGGGTATTTTTTTTTCTTCCTGCCAAAGTAGATAAGTGGTTCAGGGAAATGGGGGAAGCTTAATATGCAGACTAGTCTGAGCCACTGCAACTGATGGTGCATATGTGGGGGAAAAAGCCACTAAAGTGCAGTGTAAAGTCACTGTGAGCAACAGCAAGTAATGGTACAATGTTCTTGTTAGGTGTCTGAACTCAACTTTGTTCATGAGTGCTCCGAGTTTTAATTGTCTTTGCCTGCTTGTAATCATGCAATGTTATCAAACTGTATATACCATTGTCAACAGTTGAAGTGTAAACCGTGTTGCGTTCTGTTGTAAAATGTTTTTTATAGTTTATTTTTTATAAAAAATAAACTCCTCATCCGCATCTTTTAAATGTTCTCAGCTTGATTGAGTTTTTTAACAAGATGAAGAAATGGGAAGACATGGCAAATCTACCCTTGCAATTCAGAGAACGTACTGAGAGACTGGAGAGAAACTTCACTGTTTCTGCTGTAATTTTTAAGAAGTATGAACCCATTTTCCAGGACATTTTCACGTATCCTCAAGATGATCAACCTCGTCAACAAAGAGGAAGAAAACAGAGGTGTGTGTGTTGTTACTTTTTCTAATTGATTTTGGAGCAATGCTCATAGATAATTTCTTGGTGCTTTAGTTTTATATTTTTTTAATTCAGTGCATCTCCTAGTAATTCCTGCAGTTTCAATAATAGGTCATTCTTCTTTTTTCTGGGCTTCTCTTTATGGTAGTAAATTTCTATTCCATTGCCTTGTTGAAAGACTAAATAGATTTTATGTGCTGTACATAATAAGATTTTATGTGCTTGGTGTAACTCCTCTTTTTCTGATTCTGTACTTGTCAAAATTTCATGTGCCTGAGTTTGTTAATGTTGAGCATGGCTTCCTTTGATTTCCTTTGACTGGTTAACCAAGATGGAAACGTACCCGTTCATTGGTGCTTCCATCTGTGCAGCTGATGCATTCTTCATGTCTATTGTGCACAGCCTTTATTTTCCCTTTCTAACACTTAGTAAAATTTTTTCTCAGTTCTTATATTTAATGCATGTTTCTGTGAGCACGTTAGTACCATATTTAAAACTGAGCTTATTTAAACCTTACTCATAAGACCATTTGGGACTGTCCAAATACTGGTTTTGAGTTATGGAAGATCAAAAAATTAAATGTGCTTAACATAGAGTTAAAACACTTGAAACAGAACCAGTTATTAAAATGAATTAGTTGATTATAACATGGAAGTAGAAAGTTATAGTAAATCCCATATATAATTCTATAATAAGAAGAGTAAATCTTGCAAATTGTTAGCATGGATAATACCAAGAGAAGATCTAATATGATTCTGGAGATTAAACTGGAAAATCACACTCAGGAGCATCCACACAAAAAAATGGTTTGGAAATCTTTTAAGATGATTCCAAAGACAGTTACCTTTTCCGTAACTGGTGTTCTTCGAGATGTGTTGCTCATGTCTATTCCGCATCCTGCCCTCCTTCCTATCTGTCGTTGTCTGGCAAGAAGGAACTGAGGGTGGAGGGAGTGTGCAGCGCCCCTTGTGCAGCACCCCTTATACCGCGCCATGGAGGCGCCACTCCAGAGGTTGCTAGGGGCACTCCCCTCCCGGTACTGCTAGGGGAAAAACTTCCGACACCGGTGCATGTGGCGAGCACGCACACCTATTGTGGAATAGACATGAGCAACACATCTCGAAGAACACCAGTTATGGAAAAGGTAACTGTCTTTTTCCTTGTTACAAGGGTTTGCAGGGGTTGTAAAATGGCCCTTAACCAACCATGGCCCATTATAATCTGTGCCCTTTACATCACTGGAACTTGTGCTTGGTAATTCTGGGCCATGGAATGATCCACTGGCATCCAGATAAAGCTGTTCTAAGTTAGGGCTGCTTTATCTCACATCAGGGGCCGCATCGGCTCCAGAGCATCGCAGAATATGACACTTTAACTGTTTTTTATCTCCTTTTCTTGTGGCATATTCAATAAACCTAATTACTATAGCACCTCACAGTCTGGTGGCTGTCTCCATTCCTAGGAAGACTAGAAACTTTTTTTAAAGGAAAATTTATGCTCATTAGAAAATGTTGCAAGTCCCTATAAAAAAAACAACTTCACCACACTAAGACTGAGAACTGCTCTTTTACAGCACTCATAGTATTTGTTTTTATTTAACTAGCAGTGATGATTATTAGAGAGGCTGACATAAAATGGATATGACAGTGCTAGAAACAGAGAGGTTTCTGCATTTAAATTATGAATTGTTTATTATCTCAGGTTCCAAAAATGAAAAACGTAACATTGGGAAACAGGTATTCACAAATAATAGAATACCACCTGGGTCTAAAAGCAAAACAAAAAATGCTGATATGCCAGTGTTAAACAAAATAGTAGCAGCAGTAGATAAACTGTTGGTTTATATGAAGGCCACATTGAAGATCTATGTTTTATTAGGGTAGATTTCGTCTAGTCACTAACTGAAGTAAGACACGAGGAACACTGAAAATACATTGCCTGATTTGTAGAACTGTGTATGCACAAATGCATGCCACAGTTTTTGTGAGTGCACAATTCTAAAAATCTGGCTTTCACTAAATACACTTGATTAAATACCAGACACATTGCATACTTAATTGTTTACAAGAATGTGCTGATGGACTTTACACACCCCACTGATTAAACACAGTGTTTGTAAGCCATTTGTACTCTGACTCTCAGAACACATTGCTAATTATTACTATCTTCAGTAATTTTGCAACACTTGGTATACGTATGAAGATAATTTTTAAATGTACAGTAAAAAAAATACTATTGTTGCTGCTCAACTTATAGTTAACTTTTATTGAAACAGAATAAGCCTCTTTCTGTGCTACAGACTGAAACAAGCAAATACCCAATACAAGCAAATCTGTCCGTTTTATTTATTTATTTATTTATTTATTTTTAAAGTGAATGAATTATTTTCACTCACATTTTTTAATTGAGAACCCTGTGAAGGATTAGTAATACCCAATGAAAGTGCTGTGCAGGAGAGCAGGCACTGTGGAATCTTCCCTGTACCGTTGTGCCCATCCTTAGGATTATCTGTAGAAGTCTACTGTCCCATCAAGTAATGGGACACTTTAAGGCACGCTGTTTTGTCATTGTGAATACATTGAGTTTGTTGCTATATTCTTATGATATTTTTCTTTCCAAAAGACGACAGCCTTGCACAGTCTCTGAAGTTTTCCAGTTTTGTTGGGTGCTGTTTGTTCATGCAAAAGGTAAGAGATTTGTTAAGAATGACATTTGCTGCAAACTTTCTTTGTTAGCCTCCAGTATAGCTTATATATGAATAAAAAGGAGTGATCCTTGAACATCAGATAAGCATCAAAAAGTTCAGCATATCTTAACCCATTGAATTTCCATAAAGAAGCCATTCCACAACAGACCTTGTGACCCTCTTTTTCCCTGCCTTTACTTCTCCAGCTCTACCTTTCCACACATTTTTAAGATCAATGATGAGCTCACTTAGTCTTGTAACTTTCATGTTGGCTGCATTTTCAGTTTTCCCAGCATTTTGTCTCTCTAAAAGGGGGAAGCCTCTTGAAACTTTTGTGGATTCGTGTTAAGATGTTCATGTTGTGGATTTTCATGTCCATTGGTGACTAAGATAAGACCAAACTTTTCTTGTATTTCTAGCTACACTTATAGTATTTTATTCTCTTTTCTATAAGCTTAGAAGGGTAAATAATGAAACTACAGATGTGGATGTTCTTCTTTCAACAATTATCACAAATAAAATTCTCATCCTTTTGATTGCCCTCCTTTAGTATTTTATTTATGGATTTATTTTTAAATGAACACACCAGAAATGTAGGCAGTATTCAGATAGCCCTATAACATCATATAAGTAGGGCCTACCAAATTCATGGTCCATTTTGGTCAATTTCATGGTCATAGGATTTTAAAAATCATAAATTTCATGATTTCAGCTATTTAAATCTGAAATTTCACGGTGTTGTAATTATAGGGGTCCTGATCAAAAAAGGGTGTGTGTGTGTGTCAGTGTCACAAGGTTATTGTAGGAGGGGATGTGGTACTGCTACCTTCTGTCCTGCTGCTGGCGGCGGTGCTGCCTTCAGAGCTGGAGAGTGGCGGCTGCTGGCCGGGAACCCAGCTCTGAAGGCAGAGCCGCCGCCAGCAGCAGTACAGAAGTACGGATGGCTTAGTATGGTATTGCCACCCTTACTTCTGCACTTCTGTCTGCAGAGCTTGGCCCTCAGTCAACAGCCACCACTCTCCGGCCACACAGCTGTGAAGGCAGCAGAGCAGAAGTCAGAGTGGCAATACCGTGACCCCCCTAAAATAATCTTGTAAACCCCCTGCAACTCCCTTTTGCATCAGGGCCCCCAATTTGAGAAGTGCTGGTATCCCTTGTGAAATGTATAATAGTATAGGGTAAAAGCACACACAAGACCACATTTCATGATCCATGACACATTTTTCGTGGCCGTGAATTTCGTAGGGCATATAAGAGAATTTTCTGTATACTTGCACCACCTCATCCCAGAATACAAATGGGTGCCTTGACAACTCACATGATCTCCTGTTCAGTTTGTCCACAGATACCCCAAATCTATCTACAGTAGATTTGGAGTTTCATTTTTCTCTCTCAATTTTTAAATACACAATCAGTTCTACACACATCAGTTTGCATATATTTATATTAAATCTCTTCATGTTGGTCCACCCACTGTCTTATATTCAGTCTTCTCTGTATTTTTGACATTATACAGTAGGCATTATTTTTGTGTTGAAAAGGTGCTTATTGGATTCATTTGCAGATAATATATCTATTAAAAGATACATTTCAGTGCTTATACAGCAGGCCTTTCACTGTGTGTGTTCTTAACCTGTTGCTATGACAGTGAATAAAGCTATCTGTATCTAATGTGACTAGCTGCATTTTGTACAGGCAAATCTGTTTCCTTTAAAGAATTTAATCAAAACTTCTCTATAGACCAAAACAAATTTTGTCTTGTCTTTGTTCAAAATCCTCTCTGTCAATGTGCTTCCAAAGAAACATAACTACAAAGACGGGTCTCTTTTTTAAAATTTCCTACGGGGAGTAACCCTGTGCTGTCACTAATTCCTGTGTTGACAAAAATATAGAATATTACACTGTTTAATAATTACAAATTGCGTGTGACTTTGAAGGTCAGACTAGATGATCATTAAGGTCCCTTCTGACTTTAAAATCTGTGAGACTTGTAACAGTGAGCTATCTTAAACCCACGGTGAAAGGAGGTGATATGGCTTGATATGGCTCAGTCTTTTTCTCTCTCAAATCTGGATGTTATGGTGCTTTTGCTTCCTCGGTGCCTACTTGAAATAGGGTTTGGTTGAGAATGAGCTCACTGGAACTCAATACAGGTAAGATAGAGGTGATGCTTTTGGTTGGAGAAAGCATCTAAAGAGAATGGCAGGGATGATGCTTACACATCTGACTGATGGGGTTTACTCACAGTTAGATTAATAATTTAGAAAGGTTTTTGAATCTCTGATAGATCATGGCATGAGCCTTGGTGAGCAGAAGGACTGTCTTTTTGATATGGTTGATGCAATAATGGCAACTTTTTCTTTGATGTGGACTTTGCCACGGTTGTTCATGCCTCTGTCACCTTAATATTGGATGACTGTAATGCACACTACATGGCCTTGAGGGCCATTCAGAATATACAGGTAGTGCAGGATGCAACTGCCTGCAAGGAGCCTTTTACACCAGCGTGTCAAAAGCTGTACTGACTTATTTCTTTCACATGCTATGCAGGGGATTGACGTTAATATTTAAAGCCCAGTGTAGTCTTTATTCTAGCTGTATGAGAAACTTCACCACTTCCCATTGAACCCTCCTAATTGATCAGTGGCTGAGTTATCCTGGTTCCTGAAATTGAACCAGTCTGGAGTCTGCATGCAGAGCATTTTCAATGGAAGGGCTTTGACTCTGGAATTTGGTTCTTCCACTAGTATAAACAAACCAAAGTTTGTTGACTTTCAGTCACAGTATAAAACCCATCTGTTTTACTACAGCTTTTGACTGAGTTCATTCTGGGTTACAATTCTGCTTATATGGCATCTCGGGGAAGTGAGAGAGTCACTCAAGGTTTCATTTAAGTTTTATAGTCAGCTAATTTTGTACTATTGTGTATGTGCCCGTAGCCATTGTGATGGGCCCATTTTATAAAAGTAATGATCATTAAATCCATTTTGATGTCTTAAAGGGCACTGGCATCATTGAATAGATTGCTTAGGAGGCAGCTGCTAGTTAAGAAAGCTGAAGGGTTTTTTCTTTTTTCACGTATATTTTGGTATCTGCCTGAGAGCAGGTGTGGGGGAGGAGGGTAGGATGCAGAAACTTCGATGGTTCTTGAAACTTTGAGACAATCATTTTTAAGCTTACTTGAGTGTGGGTGTGAGTCACCTAATACCCTACACATGAAGTTGTTGTAGCTTGCAACTGGAAGTTGGTAAGGGTAACCTTAGTCATTTAGTTTGCTCAAGCATAATAAATGCTCGGTGACTGGTTCTTATTCCTTACTTTTATAACTATCAGAGTTTTCCCTTGTCCCGGACACCACGGAAAGAAAAACAAGATAATGGGAATATGGTTTAGCGAGGCCACAGTTTTATTTAGTAACACATCTGAGAACTACCCAGCAATAACTTGTCTGGTGCAGATCATCCTTTGTAATCTATTCCACATGGTGGAAGGCTGCCACCATGGGGTTATGGTTGGGGGTTGTCTCCTTGCTGTACCAGACATTGCTGTATCCATTTCTCTCCTTTAGCAGTTGCCTTTTCCTAATCTGCTCCAATTCTGATTTATCAGGGAACTGGACTCCGCATTTAATAATTACCTGCACTGGGTAGCTGCCATGTTGCAACAAAATGAATTTTATAATCTAACCTACCCCACCGTGCCTGGGTTGCTGAGAACAAAAAACAAAAAAACACATACCCCACAAACCTCTCTCCAGGCCAGTCTGGCAGTGAGAGGGAAAAAATGGTAATGCCCATAAGTCCCCAAAACCAGGTTTGTCCCCCACATCTCCAATTTGGATTAGAATTTCTTCCCAGTGCAGAATAGTGCCCCCAGGCAGGGTGCAGGGTTTATAAGACCTTCCCTTGGGTGCATTGGAGAACAACAGGCCTATGCCGGTTACTCTCGTATCCAGCCAGTCTGCCACAACCCTCGTTCCTCAAGTCCACAAGAAGTCTGAGTTTCCAGAAGGATGGGAGGAAACAGGGAAAGGGGGGCAATCCTTAAAGAGGCCAAGAGTTTTCTTTTTTTCTTCTGCTGGCCTAGACAAAGCTTTGCCACCCCTGAAACTGCTGAGGAATGCGGGGTAGGTGTTTTGTCATTTGCTTCTGCTGGATTTATAATTAACATTTTTGACTAGCTATGGATTTTTGAGCTGGTGCTTTCAGTGGTGAGCAACTTCTGATTCACAGCTTAACTTCGCAGCCTAGAATAGAAGAGAACAGGGTAGATAAAAATTGACTTTAAAAAAAAAAAAAAAAATTGGATTGTTTTAGTTTAAATTAAAATGCATTTTCTTTTTAAAATAATACTTTTTAAAATTGAATTTGATATTATGACAACCTGTGTTAAACCCTATACTTACTATAATCTGTATCATTTAAATACATTTGAGGAGGGCTCACTCATGCAAGATGAGTAAAGGGAGCTGCTTTTAAAATATATGTAGAATCAGGGGTAACGTCCCTGAATTTGGGGTCAAATCAAGCTTCGTATTGCAGTGTCATATTGCATTAAGTATATAGGTATATTTCATTCTTTACAATAGAAGAAACACTGTTATTTACCAGTACATTTTTCTGAATGTCAGTATTTTCCGTTTCTGTTGTGCAGAAATGCTTTTGCTTTAATTATTTTTGGTTTCAGTTTAGCTAGTAGGTGCAGAGAGAATATTTTATCCATTTGGACTAATTAATTCAAACTTCAGTATCTTTTCTTATGTTTTCAACTCAATTTAAGGTAGTTATGTATATTGAGCTGTATAATTGCTTAAATAAATGTGTAGATACACAGTGTATGCTCCTGGTTAGCAAAAAGCACCAAATTTAGTGTAAAAGCTGTAGTCAGTTTCAAATCTGCATGTTTTTATGGTTATGCTAATATATGAGATTATACCTTTTTAAATCAATGTTTAGTTTAAGGTTTCTTGCTTGGTCTTTGAAATCATGATAAAATTGTTGA